ATCATGTGCTTGTAAGAAGGTAGCCCCTCAAAAAAGCCAAAATTATGGGGTACTGCCCAGCGAGCAATGGGCTCGGCAGCACAGCTCTCTTCCAGCAGACACAAGCAACAAACTATCTAAGAAAACAAAGAATACAACGGAGTGGAGAGCGAATTCGGTGGTGGAACTACCGTGAGCAAAAGGAGGACGTCAAACGTAAGACCTCAGAGGCTAGCCTTCTAGATCTACAAGGACCGGTCCAGAAAGTATGGAGTAACGATGTGGAGGTTATCCTACAGTGTGCAAGAAAAGCGCTTAGGGAGACTCGAATGGATATACAGGGTGGGCCAAAATTATGATTACACAGATATCGCATCGCCAAAAACGAGTATTGAGCTAACGAAACAAAGTAACTTCAAAAAAACACTTCAACTAAATTCTCTTTACAATAGTACGTTAGCACTGGAATCTGTCGCCTTCTGCGTCCACACAAGCTTGGAGACGACGAGGGAACGCATCGACCGTGGCACGCAGGTAGTATGCGTCAAGTTCATCCCAGGCTTTTTGCAATGCCTTCTTGAGACTATCCAAGTTATTGTGAGGTTTTGCGCATGCTTTCGCTTCCAACGTTGACCACACGGGAAAATCCATTGGATTCAGGTCCGGGCTGCTTGGTGGCCACTCGTCGAAAGCTATGAAGTCGGGAAACGCTCCTCTACAAAATTCTTGGACAATTCTTGATTTGTGCTCAGGAGCTCCGACTTGCTGAAATGTCCATTTCGAATGACCAAAGTGTTCTCTCGCCCACGGCAAAACCTGGTCCTTCAAGATTTCCAAATAAGCTTTCCCGTTAACTTTTACTCCTTGAGGTACGAAAATCAGCGGTGTTTTCGCTTCGGCGCTTATCCCCGCAAAGACCATCAAAGAAAGTGGATGTGCTTTGCGTTGTATCACATCCTTTGGTTTCGACTTTGCATAAATCCTGTCGTTCTGTTTATTAAGCACTTGTTCCACCGTGAATACCTTCTCATCAGTGAATAGAATTTCTCTGTGACGATCTCCTTGAAACCGATGGAGCAGCTGTTGTGAGCGGTCTTTTCTCTTCAATTTAGCTTGCTCACTCAGGAAATGACCTCTGGATCTTTTGAAGGCTCTATCGTGCAGATGCTCTTTTACGATTCTGCGCAGGGAACCTCGTTAAATATCTATTTCTTTAGACATTTTGCGCAAAGATCGAGCTCCACTGCGACGCAGTCTTTCGCCCACCTTCTTAATATTGCTTCTAGAAGTCACCGAAGGCTTCCTACCTCTACCCTTTCGATCCGCCGATGTACCCAACTCTCTGAAGCGTCTTATCGTCGAATATACCAGTTGTCTTGTGACATTAAGTCGTCTAGAGATGTCGCGTGCCAAAAGTCCTTGTAGATGCAAAGTGATGATTGTTTCACGATGTTGCGACGCTTTCATTCTTTCTTAAATCAACCGCATTTTTGGTGTCATTGGGAAGGGAATAATGTAGCCTACCTAGTTAATTGCAAAAAACCGACTAAAAATTTGAAAGCTCGGAAAAAAATCGATTTGCGCGCGCGCGCGCGGTGTAATCATAATTTTGGCCCGCCCTGTAGAGTTCACAAGACAGTATAGTTTTGGAACGATGAAGTTTAGCGAGTCGTCAAACAGAAACAACGACATATAAGCGTTAGCAAAGGACAAGTCGTCTAAAAGAACTAGTTTTCTAAAAAGCGTTCGCAAAGCATCACGTGGCTCACCCGGTTCCTGAACACCTTGGCCACTAGGGGAAGAATACCAGACGCGCGGCTGAGCTGTGCTATTGTCCACACATTCAAACAGAATGGTGATGCGATGGAGTGTTCTAACCACCGTAAAATCAGGTTGATTGCTCAAACTGTGAGAGTTTACCAGAGGACGGTAGACTCGAGATTGAGGGAAGTTATTACGATCTCATAATAACAGTTCGAACTCATGCTCCAAAGTGCTACAATGGATACCATCTCTATAGCTAGACAAAAGATGAAGAAGTACCGACAGAAGCGTATATGTTGCTGCCCCGGCTTCTTCGATGTGGATAAGGCCTCCGACCGTTTGTCGCGAGTAGTCCTTTGGGGAGCGCACCGAGAAAGAAAGCTCCGTAACACCTGACCTCCCGGCATGTCCGATCGGTCTGAAACTACTATATGCACTCCTCACGGTCTGATAAAGGCAACAGACGTTACAGTTGGGGTCCACCATAGATCAGCTCTGAGTCAGTTTCTTCTTCTGTTAACAATGGACGTCATCACAACGACGACCACCCTCTACGCTGATGGCATCCCTCTAGTACTGGATAGCAGAGAAGAAAGTCAGGATACTTTGCAGGAATGGCAGAAGTGCTCGCGGGAGCGAGCTCAAACTGAACGTGAAGAACCAAGTTCTCCACTTCTGAAGTAGATGGTCTCGGAAAGGCCATCGGAAGGGTAATCACTCGATACTTTGCGAGTGACCTGGTCGCTGATGGCAGCGTTGATCAGGCAGTAAAGACCCGATTCAATGTGGCATGGATCGAGAAGGTCCAGTAGTGTCCTCCGCTACCGATGCTCCAGCAAGCTCAAAGGAAAGATTACCGATCAGTGGATGGGCTCACGATGCTCTACGGCAGGGAGTCTGGCCCGTCAGTGAAAACCGTAGGAACAGCATCAGCTTCATGAGTCAACTCATGGGCCAACTAATCACCACCGTAATCACCGTAATCAGTTCGTTAGATTCTAGATATAGTACGTTGGTTTTACTACACACTGCATACAACGATGATGCTACATCTATTTTAGTTACATCCATCTTGCTCGTTCAGCTTGAGGTAGATCCTTTTCTGAAAGGTGTGGCGAGCCCTAATATAGAACAGCTAATTTGGCACGTTCTGACTGTCCAAAGCTGCTCTGTACATGCAGTTACCACCTGTCGCGTCCACATTAGTACACACATCGTCAACTTATGGCACGGTGTCCTAGAATGCGAATTGATTCTACCCGTTTTTCGTCAACTTTATATCTCTCTCCTCGATGACGTACAGAACCGTATCAGCGCCTAATCGAAGCTCGAGAATGAGCTTACTGTAAGGAATGTAGATGTTCTCCTGAACGAGGCCACCCGTCAATCAAGATACCCGGCGGTACACAGAGCCACATAAAACGAGCTTGCTACAGACAACTGAGCCTTCCCACTCATCTCGTTCGTTTAATTCTTTATGAAGCGCCCATCGCATCAGCGCGGCTTGTTCTGGCCTCCCTCTTATGCCGTCGTATAATGTAACTTGTAACGTATAACGTAACTAATAATGTATATAGGTACACACTTGCTGTTCGTTACCTCACACATGGATTCATGTTTCAGTACATTATCTGTTATAAATCCGATCACTCTTGTCTTCTGATAACTACGAAAAGACCAGGCCATGATAATCAGCTATTTCATTTTTATTGGGCGGAACTGGTGCAGCAGCGTTTCGCTATCACACATGTATTAACACGGAATCGAATCCTGGATCGACATCTGCCTAGGCCGACCAAGCCTTCCATTCCTGCGAGTCAGTGAATTGGTACCATACTCATCTGGGAGGAGAAGGCTACACACGCATTCAACACGCCACTACGATTCCTAATTGAGTCGAACGCGCGGTTGCATCCCTAAGCTGAGACTCCCGCCAGAAGACTTTCTCCTATATCATTCTATCACTTTGTGTCACAATAGAATGTCAACTTGATGAAATGTCATTTTGCGAACTCAACACCATGGTTGTCTGTTATCAAACCAGTCTCAGGTTTTCATGGGAAAGTTTCTTAGATACTGAATTTTCATTGTGGTACAAAAGGGAGTTAAACACCCTAACATGTACGCTGTAGTTATTCGCAGTCTATACCTATTCATTAACTTGATTTATGACGTAGTATAATCAGTAATCAAACGTAAAACCAGTCTGTATAAGACTCGTGAGTGAGCACGGGTCCCACAGGTTTAAAGATTCCAGACCTCATTTCAGTCTGTATGCAACTACGTTTCAGTGAAGGTTTAGGACGCTATTTAGGTGCAGCTATCTAAATTAACTGATGATTTAAAGAAATGAATTATAAGAATACCTTTATTCAACGTTCATAACACCATCTTGTATTTTAGATTGAGTTTATTTGTGTGAACCGTACAAAACTCATCGAATGCTTACATACTCCTTCAAAGATAGCAAAACAGATTGAGAATGAAAGGCACAGTATGCAAGAATCCTGAAGCCGTGGAAAATCCACAACGAATCTATAAAGTTTGTACGAAAAACGCAACGGTCAGGCTAGAGAGGGAGCTTAGCTACATACATATATCGGTTACATACGGCCGATATTACACATCATCGAAAACGATTTTTTCTCGATATTCTGTACAACCGAATGCAAAGCTTCTTAAGTCGTCCAATCTGGAGATTCAATAAGAAGTGAATGTAATTCACATCACAGCGTAAAGGTTCCCAGAGTATTAGCTGGGTAGACAGGCAAAATTATCTCCATAAGGCAATTTAGTCGAAAATCCATCACCGTACCAGTAATGCACAAAGAAGCGTTAAAGAATAGTCGCAAAGACTGCACTAGCCACAGCGTTTGAGTAAAAGGCATACTACATGCATTCGAAACGATGATGTATTGTTCCCATGCAAGCCATTGGAGTGTTCACTGTATCTTAAAGAGAGGAGTATTCTAATTGTTTGGCAATTTCAGACAATTACACAAATATCTGCAGTCTGCTGTTTGCCGAAATTCTATCTGATCGTTTTTGTCCCACTACCATGAAAGCGCAAGAAGTGAGATGAGGAACAGTGAAAATGGCAAAGTTGCTCACATTGTCAAAAGTGACAGTTATATGTGAACATGTCACACAAAAAAATGTCACACTACAGAATCATAGAAGTTGTTAAGTAATATTAGCACTACAATGAATAGATCGTACAAGTGGAACTGTAGACACTGCGTTCCAACTGCTTTTGTCATGGAGTCATGTTCCGGTTTGCTGAAATACTACCAACATCATTGCACAAAAATATTTCTTTGATACATAAACGACATCATCACAGTTTGAAATTGATATAAAAGAACGATTATCATTGAAGGCCTTGAACCGTTCACTTTCTGGTCCTTTAAAACCCAAAAAAACTTTGTTTATTGTATCAAGTTTAATGAAAAACAGTCCTTCTGTAAAAGTTCTGAACGCCTGCTGATACAAACCGTTCCCTGCCCAGTCGTTCGCATTTCAGATCAACACATTTGAAAAACTTACTTGGTTTATTCATTTGCATTTGGTTGAGTGACAGACCCTGTTTCACAGGTGTGCTTTTGGACGTCAGGTTGTCCAGATCGATAAGATCGCTTGCTGCGACCCAAGCGATACCGACAGTTTTTGGTTTTACGGCTTTTTCGTTGGACGAAGGAATCTGAAATGATTGTTTGCTCTTCTTCTTGAAGATGATAACATTCACGTAGAGTATATGCACAGATCGAATTAACAATTGTTTTTGCTGAGAAATGATGGCCACCGCAGCATGAAACAGGCGAAACACTCAGTGTTAAGAACAGATTATCTAACCCGCTTCCGCTTGCTAAAACTGGCTAGTACTTTTGAACTATTACGATTTGAAATTTCTCTTGTAATTCTTCTACATGTGATGCTAGCCCTAGACAAACAAAAGTATGCCAAGGCAGACGGGATGGTGGAAGTGGTCTTACAGCGCTTGAGTGGGTACTACCATTACATTGTATAATATATTTGCATCTAGCATTGATACTATTCCCGCACATTTATTTCGAGCCCACTGAAAAATTTTGCAGCGAAACTGCAATCAACCGAAACGGAATTCGTGTTCATATTCAGCAGACTTGGCTCCCAACTGAAAAGGTTCAGCGAACTTTTCGTTCAAAGCCACATGTTAGGATTGAAGGGTGATATTTCGAACACGATTCCGAACTGCTTCTTCTTTGGTGGGAGGCTAAGGCCGAGTTCTCGTTCATAGATTCTTGGTAGATTAGCTGTTTTGTGCTCACAGGGGAGGGATCACTGGTCGCAATGGCCACTGAGGATGAGATGTATTCAGCCAGTTCTTTTTGAATTCTAAACTCAAACCTGTGTTCCAAATCTGCAAAACGATTCTCTGCAACGACACAGTTGGTTAGAAATCGTCTCTATAACCGGATTTGCATCATGGGTAACTGCGTGATCTGCCCGTATGGAAGAATAGGAGACCGTGCACAGAGGGGCCGCGGTTTACCAGCTCCAGCGCTTGACGTGTGATACTTGCTATAGTGGAAAAACTGAGAGGTTATTATGTGTTCTTGCGAAGGAACATTCAGCTACGAAACGACAAAAATTGCTCGATCACATCGCTCCGAAAGCACAAAAGAGGGAGTCAAGCTCGTCATTTGACGATTTTGGTCTACGAGAACAGTACTTGTGCAAGAAAAACTCTGGAGGCTCTCGAAATAACGCAAAAAAACGGAATCCAAGCATACAAGATGAGTGCATAAATTAACTGGTGACCTCTTGCTTTACATCCCTGTGTGTGACTTCGATAGTGGGGACTATTACGTGTCACTTCACGATACTACTAATGGACCGGGCAGTCTCATTTGCTCTATCGTCTCCAAAGTTTAGCAACTATTCGGTGTTGGTGGAATGGACGCGAGTGAGATGTTGAAATTTCTATTTAGTTGGAAACTCATTGATCTGAGTTGCAACTAGTTATAAGTTTGTCTCCGTCAGGCGTGATAGGTAACACTCTAAATTTCCGATACGTTTTCAAGCCTTTGATAACAATGAATTGGTCGAAAAGTCAGGCATAATGGCATAAAGGCATTGATCCTTCATGTCCCAACAATGCTAGTGAGGATACTTATTTGTAGTGGCCATTCAAGTCAAGATATATACTGCCGTGTTTTCGGACGCTAATCTCAAGTCAACCTTTCAAATCTGCTAAACAATCCTGGGAACAAACCTACGGAACCGCTTTCTCCTATGTTATACCACACTGTTGAACATCTGACCGATCTGACAGCCTCTGGAAATCAGCAGAAAAGCTGGAAGAAGCAGTGATCATGAAATTTATATGATATCTCATTGCAGAAAGCGGTTCCCTGTAAATGGCAATGAAAATCAACAATGAATGCTCCATACAGGACAGTCTCAAAGCAAGCCATAGTAGATCTAGGGATTTGAGTCGAGCTTTGGTATCGTTTACCACCGCACAGCCACGTCAGTCTCGAGAAAAAGTTTCGCGAAAATCATTTATTTATCTTATGAGTACATAAACTGATCGTACAAATTGTTACAACGGTATTTTTCTAAACGTCACCTCCCCTCTACCAGCGCATTTCCGACCTCGAAAGTGGGGGACAGTACTTTCTCATAGGGATCTGGTCATATGAGTCATTCGACCACTATTTTCGCCAAGCTCGCCACTGCAGGCGCAGTCCAGTCGTGCCACCTCCCATCAGTACTTCCATAATGCCGCGTGTATTTTTATCAAATTTGAACGCTTTGCGTCCACGGGCACAGGTCATGATTTCCCTGTGAAAATCTAATTTTTGCCCACGCCCCGCCCTCTGCAGGCGGGGCCTAGTCCTGTGAGCTATATTCCCATACTGTCGCCTATACTTCAAATTTGAGCGCCCGAGATTCAAGCTATCAATACTTTCCACGCACACGCCGCCTCCTGTGGGCGCAGCCTGGCCGTGTCACCCACCACCAGCATTCACATACTGCCGCCTGTACTTTGAAAAACATGAACGCTTCAAGTCTTCAAATTTGAGCATTTATAAGGAAGTACTTTAAGAGATCAAAAGCATCCTGTTGGCATCGTAGAGATAGCCGAGCAAATTAAAGAGCCACTTAGTGACTGTCACTTAGTTCAAAATCTTCTTCGAAAAGTTGCATATCAGTTCGGACTGTGGGGTTTGCCCCACGTACGGAGCGGGATGGTGCTGTTGCAAGTGTGAGGCACCTATAAAATTAGTCACTAGAATAGTGACGACTAACACATACGTGGAACTGTGAGATCACGTCAAGTGCACGGCAATGTAGCACAAATAGGCCGAATCAGCTGCAGTTAGGTTGCCATAGAAGAAGGGTTGTGACTGCGTGCAACGCTCTAGAGTCGTTCGAGGTCTAGGCCAGGATCTCCAAATGAGAAAAGAGGAGAATGCCGGTCGAATACCAACAAGCATATTCCCTTTATAATTTGAAATGCGACTTTAAATAGCAAAATGGCTAAACCACTGTCGTCTGAGACGTGAACAGTGGGATATAAATGGGAGAGGTATTTCGTCTTCTCATCGTTTGTGTGATGGGTGAGGTGGTCAAGATCGCCTTGGCGAGGTTCACAGACACGAGATACCTCGTCGAATACAACACACTTGATCCCAATATGTTCAGGCTATGTACAAGGCACGCAAGCTCATTGATGTCTATACTGCACCAGATCCCTGGCAAAATTTACTGTTATATATAAGGGCGCAAGGCGCAAAATATGGCCGCCCACGCAATTTGCGGTAGTTGATGGGTATGAAAATGATTTTGTCGAGCAACGAGTAGCTAGAAAGACGTTACCAGTCAGCGACACTGCGACGAGGCATCCATCGTCATGTGCGCCTTTTCAGGGCTGCAAACGGTTCTGAAATCATTCATGGATGACAATGCGCGACCGCATCGGAAAGCAAAGGTGGAGCTCTTGAAGAAAACATTGCAGCACTTCCAAATTCACCTTCCCATCCAGCAAATGTCAAATGGAGTGATATGGGAATGAAATGCTCCACCACACCACAGGTTACCGACCACGTGGAAAGTCTGGTATCGCGATGAAGAGCACGCATTGCTTTCCGTGGTGATCACTCACCCTATGAGGAATCGCGTGATTTTTTCTGAAGTACCAGGACAAATCATGCTGACTCACACGCATCTTCGAATTAGAACGTCACAACTCGTCGTCTTACTTCAAATTACTGTTAGTTGCTTCCTGTGCCATATCGTTTGGAACCTCTTGTGTACGCCGACCATTTGAGAATGACGCCAGTGAAGAGTTTCTAGAATACAGAAACAGGCACACTGGATGATAGTTTAGAATATCTTTACATCTCCCTTCCTATACAGCAGTGCAGTCTTACTGCTATCCCATAATGGTGGGGCCCTACATTCCGACATCTCCCGCATAACGAGTAGAACTGACGTTTCAACTACCGGATCTGTGTATGTCGCTGTAGAAAACCGGTGCAGCACACTCCTTCACCTACGCCATAGCAAGTCGGTTTCCAAAAGGAGAAGTGAAGGGCGATATAACTGACCTGCCCTGGTTGATTGATATGCAAACGGACATGCTACAGGTTGACTCTCAAGTCTACCGCACTACCGCAAAAAATAGAGCTCCCGAAAATACGAATTACCATGGTGTTGAACGGCATGATAATTATACAGAAGTTTTCACATTGTTGATTCTACTGTTCAGTGATATCCACTGTAAAGCTCTTTAGCCGTCCGTTTGAAACCAGTCTTGTCGCTGAAACCACCGACCATATCTTCGGATGAAACATCGAATTTCTTGCACAGCTTCATTATACTTAGATTATACGCTTCCGATTCATTCTCATTGAAGAATGCTTTCAGCGTTTGGGAAACGAAGTTGCCGGAGCTGTTATTGTACCGCGTCCGATTGGAGTTGTTAAAATTTCAACGGAGCGGTACTTCTCGGCAACTTCGTATGGACGAGGAATCCTAAACGGTTGACATCTCTGCCGTCGCATATCCCAAACAGCACTTCTTCTTCAATCTTAAAAGTGCAAACTAGCAAACTCGTTCTCCACCTCGTTTGGGTCAATGCGATGATGCCGACTTGATCTTGATCTTCATGACTTGCATAGACACATTTTTAATAAACGCTTTTTGCGAGTGTTATGCAATGAAAGTATGGATCATCATTTTACAAACGAAGGACGCTAGGTCGCATGGGGTATCCAACATGTGAAGTATACCGCCCTATGTTCTCTTCCACTTTACCTCAACGAATGACTAGTGTAGTGAGTCGAACGACTCAAAACTATAGACTAATCTATGTATCTGACAAGGGAAGAATCTCAAGTCGAAGTGGCCATTTGAAATGAGACCAACACTGCTAGACGTATTTTTTGATGCTGATTTCAAATCTGCATTCAAAATCTGCCAAACGATTGTCTGAACGAAGTTATGGAGGAGGTCTCCGAAGAGCGCTCAATAGGGGAAAGCACAAAAGCCATGGTCGCCGGCATTCCAGCAGTGGCGGCTTGGAGTGGAGGTAAGCGTGACGCTTTATAGGTACGGGACCAAAAATCGGGTTTGGTGGGCGGTGACGTTTTTGCATCTTGCAGAACTTTCTCCTCCAGGTTGCAAATGTCTTTTTATGTTAGTTTTACCGCCTTCA